ATTTGTGCGAGAGATGAACTCGTTTGGTTCGTCAATACGTAGTCACATTTGAAAATGTAAGATTGGAATTTTATTAGAAAAAAACGATATTTTTTAAGCATACACCAGAATGTGCATCTTCCTATCATATCAATAATTCGGATAGAAATCGAACAAATAATGCTTATATTTTAATAAACTCTATTGCATTATCGAAAGTAAATTTAAACTTCTTTTTTGTTTGCAATCCCATCTTTTTAATGACATATTTATGTCATCATGATTTGTAGTATAATTAACTATTTAAAATCAAATATGTAATAACATAAATTCAGAACATTATAGATACTGAACTTCTATGTTTTGTGTAAAGCTTTTTATTTAACATACAGCTCAAAGATTCTGTATAATATTATATATAAAAATATTTTTCTCTGTTGATGAAAACAAAATTTTGTAGATACTAATATCTAACCTAATACGTAATTATCATTCGGTATATTTCTTCAGTTATATCTTGAGGATGCGGGTGGGTATCTTTGTAGATATTATAATTATCTCTCACACCCATCCTCATCCACACTCACACATACACCCACACCCCACCTATATTTCTAATCTAAGTCAATTATAGAAAAATTTTCACAGAGACTGGCTCAATCAGATCAATTTCCGGTAATCTATAGTGATCCGTACTAATCTAGTATTAGCTTCGATCAGTTTTATTAAAAGACATGAAAATTCCTACGATTTCTAGTCATTTTAAGTCAATTCCATATCAACTTCAGCCAATTCCAATTCCAATTCTAGAATTGGAGCTGAACCGAATTGAAATTGGTGCATCCCTAGATGTATTCAACAGACGGTACCCACATCTTCTCGCCTGTTCTCTCATATGCATCATACCGGTCCTTCTTCGGATGACTGCCGATGGACCATTTAGACTTAGATTGATCTCTATTCGAGATTGTTTTCGTTTGTGAGAATTATTCCAGCAATGAATAGCATCAAAATCTTATGTTGTAAAGTTCTCCACTTGTAATTCTATTATATTTAATAACTGATTAAGTAGAAGAAACAATTGTTTCATTCATTCATTATTTTTTAATAATAGTTCAACAACACTAGACTCTAAGAATTTCCGAGGTACAAGATACTTTGTACTTGATGTAGCAAATCTACGTAATATCAAGTGAAATCTTCCCTTGTTCGTTTAACGACGTATTTTCATGATTAGATTCAATGGAGATCTCTTGTTTTTTGTCTGTATCTTTATGTATATCGATCATTCTATGTTACAAACATAAAAACTACAATTATATCATTAATTTACATATTCTATCTAATTGAAATTAATAACATAAGTTTTTATACTTAGACATTTGACAATTAGGAATGACGTACGCGGAATAAGCACGATGACACTATTTTAATTATGTGTATGTATATACAGTTCAACGAACAGGAATCTCTTTTTTTCTATTCTTACATGAGAACTTTGCTCATAGTTCTTAATCTCTACTATTTTTATCATGAACTCATAAAGAATTCGATAGTCAAAATGATTAACCCTACTTCTAAAAAATAAATTGAATATTCACTTTCTATCAAATGATTATTAATACTATTCTTATGAATAATGCATATTAATACAAAAATATAGCCTGAAGAGAAAAATTTAATGAGAATAATATCTCGGGTAATACTCATGCATATTGAGTAGATGAATATAGTTGTCTTGTTACTCTCTAATGTAGTACTCTCGCTCATAATTTATAGAAAATTATTCAATTTTATTTTTGCAAAAAAATATAATTTATTATTTTCATAAACAAAGATTCAATTAAGAGAATCATGATATTTTTAAAAGCATAGGGACATTGTAATAGAACAAAATTAGAGATGTTTTTCTAGACTTATTTCCTTTTTATATACTTAAGCTTCTTTCATATTTTCTCTGATTAATTAATCATGTTTTACAGTTACTTGAAATTATTTTATTTTATAAGAAAAAAACACCTTTTTTTAATGAAATATTTCGACTAATATTTTATGTACTTCATTATTTTTTACTATATAAAAATCATGTATCGCCACTAGATAATTATGTAAATATCATAATCACCTAATGTCAGATTGCTAATATCTCATTTTTCAAGTATTCTATATATTTATGTGATTAATAATTATAATAGAATTCTCAGTAGTAATGTTGAAGTATGTCATTCGTATTTTTGATGTCGTATTGTCAATATATATATTTATTATAAAAATATGACATTTTATCGAAAAAAATACAAATTTAGAATATTCTTCTTTTTTACTGACATTAACTACATGTTAATGAATTATCTTGAGAATTGATTTGATTACAAAAGAATGTCAGGCATTGCCTCTCGTTTCTTTTCCTTTTCGATTGACTGATTGTTGATTATTTTTCTACTTAATATTTCTCCCACTCACATAAACTATATTTAAATAAGCTTGACGCACATTGCTTTTTTTTCTCCTCTTAATCTTTATATACGGTTCAAAAAACATACGACAAATGAAATACAAGATAGTTATCATTTTGTTACAATAATAAAATACTCAAATATATAAATATGTATATAATGTTCTTGTTGTAAATATAATTCGTTTATTATAATTGTCTGCACTATTATGATATAAGAAAAATAAGAACAAATGCCGTAGGGCACAAAAAGAAGAAAAGAAATCGAGAAAAAAAACTCGATCAGTTCGGAAAGACAATCGACTTTATTCTTCAACGATATATTTGGCACTGTGGTTGGTTAGAAAACAGGAAATAAGCTGGCACAACTTAACGGATGTGCAGCTATCTATATTAATAACTGTGGGTGTATACAAAGAGATTTCTATTTCAATTGTTTGATGAATGTATGTCATGAATAAATTGTTCAGTGTGTGTGTATAAATGTTCTTTTGTGTATTTCCTATATTTTCATGTTAGTTTTTCTTTTATTCATTACAATAAGACGATTTTTTTTGTCTATCTAACAAATATTATCATCTGTTTACTTTTAACATTAGAAAGACATAATCATCTTGAATAGAATAACGAAGAAACATCAATATTTGTGTTCATTATTAGTTTCTCCAATTTTGTTTTTTGAAGTTTCAGACATAAAAGGTAAGCCGAAGGTTTTAAATATTCTTATATAGGTTGCTTTTTCTTTGTTATTATAAATTTATATTTTGTAAATTTGATATTGTCTCTCTTGTATCTATATTAATCGTATTTTACATTCTCATATGTCTAGCCCTAGTTATATGAAAAATATATAATCTTGTTTCGTAAAGAAGATTTTTTTTTTCATGTCTTTAAAAATGGAAAAAAAAATAACAATATGTTTCCTGTATAATAATTAGTTTACAATACAAATAATATCGATCAAAATCTATTACAAATGAATTAAAGAAAAAATATTGACAAACATGGATATAATCAATTAGAATTGATATACAAATCTATGTTGTTGTTGTTGTTCATATATGAAATATGAGAGAAGAAATCTTCTTCACAACATGAGTATTTATTTATTCCTTATAACTAGAGTTAGATATATGAGAAACGAGGGTAGTATTCTTCTAGTATAAGGAAACAACTATCTAATTTTTCGAGTTTTCAATGTACTAGAAGAAAAAGAAAAAAAGTAATTTTTATGAAAACACTTGAGACTTTTAGCTCATACTTAAGAAAATATATAATATCCTATGTCTATTATAATTTTTGCAATGAAAAAAGATCTAAATTTGTTTTTCTAATACAAAGAAAATTCTATATCTTCATTAATTAAGATTTAAAAGTCTTTTTATCAATACAAATCCAGTAGACTCTATTCTATTGTAATCATCATAACACTTGAAAGAACTAATTCAAATGACGTGATATCATTTGTTTTATATTTTTAGATACAAACAATCTATCCATCTTTTTTCTTTTTATATACAATGACATACACAGTTATATTAATGATAGCGTGTATGTCTCTTATGGTTACATCATAAATGATTCTCTAGGTCATCTTATATCTTTCAGACTCCTGATTCTATAAATTTCGTATGATAGTTGTTTTTTATTGGTTAAAGAAAATTTCTTTCATTATCCCTAGGCAAATATTTATCAATATTAATATTGTAAAAAGTCTAATGCTTACAGATCCTCTTGGATGATATATCACACGTGTCTATCATGGAACGATGACTTTAGTTTTCTTCTTCTTCTTCTTCTTCTTCTCTTTGTATTTCTGTTAGACACACATAATATTTTCCTTTTCCTATAGTTTAAAACAGTAACATCCGATAATATATTGTATTATTATCATGATTGTATGTGTTTAGTACAAAAAAAAACAACATAAAAGATTTTATATCACCATGATATATTAACATCATCAGTCACGTACGCATAAGATTTTTCTTTTTGCTTTCAAATGATAATTTGTTAGATGTTGTCTAGATTTGTTTTTATTAATCCTGTTGAAAATCTAAAGGCCAATGATTTCCTGGATGTAGAAAGATTCGAAAAAAAAGATAATGATTTAATCTGACAAAGAACGTTCGAAAGAAAAAAGAACATTATATATAAATATCTATATATATGTTTCTTCTTTTTTTCCCCTATTTGCTTCGATGATGATCCATCATTCTTTTCAATAACACTATATTTCTATTTACCTAACAACAAGAAGAAGAAAAAAAAAGGAACTTTTATAAGTCATAAATACACATTAAAATAGTATAGTTATTATTAACGCACAAATTTACTTCTTCTACCTTTTAAATCATGACATAAATAGTCATGATATACGTCATCTAATGTATATTTCTCATTAAATTAATTATCTTCAACGAGAAAAAATGTACGTCTTTTAACTGTTTGCATTAAGATAAACTCTTTCATTAGAAGAAAAAAAATTCCTATGACATGATATAAACTTTAAAACAAAATGTTTTTTTCTTTTCTTTAAAATTAGAAAAAAAAATAGTTTATTTCAATGCTTAATAATCAATCAGATATTCAATTATTTCCAATATATAAATTATTTTTTGATGATATTGAAGAAATATTTCTTAATACAATATCGTTTCGTATTCTTATTATATTAATATTAATAACATGTTTTTTTATTATTGGAATAATAATTCTTTTATTTAATCGATCAACAAATACTTTTTCATCTCATCTTAATCCATTTATATATGCATTAATATTCTATGATTTTATTCAATTATTATCTTTAATAACATTAAAATATAATTTTACTGAACAATTTTTTAATCAATTATGTCGTTGGCCATATTATTTAAAATCTTCATCTGAATCTGGTCAATGTATAACATTAATATTTTTATTTGCTTTAAGCCGTCATCAAATACGTTATTTTCTTGCACATAATCATTTACCTAAAACAAATCGTATTAATTCTCGTGCATTAACATTTGTTTGTTTATTATTCATTGTTTATGATAATAATTGGATAACTCATGTTAAAATTGAAAAAATTCATTTAATTACATTAAATGAAACAAAATATGAAATTAATATTAGAGAATCACATATACCATTATATGAGAATTCAAATAAAACTATTCATTCTCATCTTCGTTTTATAACTGATCTTGATCGATATTCTCAAGGTCAAGAAAAAAATTTAACTATTCAAAATCAACATAAAACTTCAACGGATGAAATTATACATAATAATCGAGATGGTAGCATACATGAAATAATATTTAAAATTCCTTATGATGTATTTAATCCAACAACAAATCGAACAAAACGTAAATTAACAAGATATAAACGTGAACAAACAATTAGTGAAAATAAAAATAATAGTTCATATCAAATAAATCGTTGTACATATGGACAAAGAAATTTTTTTTTATCGAATTTTCTTCTATTAATTCATTCAATAATTTATTTTATATTGATATTATATTATTTAATTATAGTTTATTCATATAAAATAGAAAATATTAATATTGATTATCATCAACAATTATCTATAAAATCATTAAAAATGGGAAGACGAAAATCGGCTGAACGTCATGAACAATTTATATTACTTATTCATTTAAAACGATTTCTTTATTTAATTACTTATTCACATACATTACTCACATTTATTCGTCTTGTTTATATATGTTTATTAACAATAATGTTATGTTTACTTCAAACACCATTTAAATGGTTACCAATAAAAATTATATTTTATTCTCTTTTTCTAATAATTTATTTTTCAATTCCTATACGTATGAGTTTATTATTTATTTATTTATTTTTAAATCGTTTTTCAACTCAAATTGAATCAATTTTCTTCTATATATTCCATACAAAATTACGTTTCTCATGGAAATTAGAAAAACCTACTATATGTTTTCGATTACAGTTTATACCATATACAAATAATTCAAATCAAATAGAAGGTTTAACTAATTCATTAATTATTGATCTATCATCAACGATGGAAGAAGATCAATCAACTATGTTCCCGAATGATTCAGCTATTGTCTATGATGAAAGTAGTAGTGGTTATAATCCTGTAACAACAACTATGCTTGTTACTCCTTTAAATCTTGCTAATGAAACAACATCAAATATATCTGTTATTGCTAAACTGTGATTTATATATAAATATATTTATTGTTGTTTGTTTTCTTTTTGTTTTTTGAAAATAATGTCATTTATTAATTTGTTTTTTTTCTGTTTTATTGAAAAATATCTAAATACAATTAGTTTAAGAATAATAATAAAAAAAACAATTTCGAAGAAAAAGTGTGTTATTTCTCCTGCACTCTATATACATAATATAACCAGATGTTATCAAATCAATTATAAGAAGTAGTAATGACACACAGTAAATAAGCTTTTTTTTTCTCTATGACTTAGTAACTCAACATTTGACAGAAATCTACATCTCGTAACTCTAAGATACGGCGTGTTTAAGAAATCTTTTTTGATTCTTTCTTCTCGTTTTATGAGTAGTAATATCTATATACTTAATGAAAAAAATGTCATGACAATCAAACGAGAGGATGATATGCTATTTTCTAGATATAAAATTAGATTTGAATGACAAAAAAAAAGAAAAGATTGATTTACTATTTAATTATATAAATGTTAGAAAATGCAACATAAATCTTTCTAAATATGAATAAAAGATGATTAATATTTTTTTTCTACCTTTATAATCTTCCTTTGAACAAATGTCTAATAGATTTTTTTATGGATTGAAAGAATTATTTCATTGATTAAATGTCATATAAAATATTTTTATTTCATTACAATAATACAAAAAAAAATATAAAGTAAATAATTTTTAATAGAAGATAATTATTTTTCAAGAATCATGGATTGTCAACAGGAAAACAAAATCTATCTTATTTATATCTACATCTCAAACAGACATTATTTTCTTTATTGATTATATAAATGTTTTATGTAAATAAAAATTACAAGCTATGCTACTTAGAATAATCAAAAGTATATCTTAGTTATTTGACGTTAAAACTGAAATAATCGTTAGTTAACCTATAAAAGCAGTTAGTCAATATTTCGAAAACAGAATGAAAGAAACAGAACAAATAACAGATGGAATTGATACGCTTGCGAGAATATTGTTTCATACAATTGTTCATTGTTGGTAGTGATCATTAACTGTTTTCCATGGTCATAGGCGGGCCAGCAGCTTAACGATAGGTGTGGCAATAATACCATGCTATGGTAAAAAAGAAACTGTTTTTAAAGTTCAGAAAATACTACGTAACTACTACCTACATTCATGTGGCGAACGAAGCTGTCTTTCTTCTAATATAATTTATTTGCTTGATTTTTTCTTGTTTTGGCATGAAGTAAAGATAAAACATATTAGCTAAAAAATATTTATTTCAAAAAATTATTTTTCTTTCAGTTTTTTTGCAACAAAATCTGTTACTATTTTATCAGTATTAATCCCAAAATCTTTTTTCATATTCAAAAGGACAATGCGTGACAATCTATCTTGTCCAATACTATTTCCTAAATAAGTTTCTGCTATTCGCTACTAGATGTCACTGGAATAGATGATTTAACAATGCCAGACTTCTTAGATACTTTTACTACTTTTTCAGAGTTTGATATGACTATATAAATAAATAAATATTATGTTTAATTTTTTTGGGTGTGGCAATTGCCACCAATTGCCTCGTGGTGGCCCGCCCCTGTCCATGGTGTGTGTGAGGATCTAGATGTGATTATGAATGATAATAAGAGTAGATGGTATAGTCCTTCATCGTTTCAGTTCTCTTATAGAAAATAAAACCGTTTAATTAATAGATATTACAACCTTTTTAGATGATCAATACTATCTTTATTAGTTGAGGGTGTGTCAAATACTTATTTTGTTACAAATATTGTTATTCAGATCATTTTACTCGTTATGTTGAAACTACATTCAATTTCTATGAAACACAATTACTTTTTAAATATCTTTAAAGAAACACTGCTAATTTCTCAAATATTTCAAAATAATTTCTAATAGAAATTGATTTGAAACTCTTTTTATTATGAACAATCAAATATTTTCTGTCTACAATGCTGTACTTGTTTTTGAAGATATTGTAATAAGTAGAAGCACACCATAAAATTAACACTTCAATGGATCTTCTTTGAAGATTCTTCGGAACATTGTATAAATGCATCAACTATAATCCTTTTTAACAGTATAACCATTTCAATCAGCCAAGAAATCATAATCTATTTTTCATTTAACTGATATTTACGACAGACTATGATTACGTTAGATATATCGTAATAGAAAATTGTAATTCATACAGTGAAAATATATAACTTGTTTTTCCAAAAAACTATCGATGCATTTAGTCCTGCTTATATTACGTATCAGTAAATATGTATTTAATATAGTAACATTCATATTCTCTCGAAAAATTCTTCCACTCGACGTTACATTATTAAACTGATATGTCTATGTCAACAATGGATGCAATGTATGCTACTGTATAATCATATTCCACTAACTAATTTTCCATTAGTTTTATTAAATAATACGTACATGAACTATAGAAACTTTAATTCATGGCTTTTCCTAGTATGATTCTTTATGATATCAGAATCCAATATGACATTTAGCACAATGAAGTTTCATATGACTGTTTTGTGTGTATACCATCCATGATGCTTATTTGTTTGGTGAAATGTATCCTCTTCATTTGTTAATCTATGTTTTTTCATTTTCGTTTCAACGATTATGTACATAACCATCTTGAGGGTGTGGATGTAATGTGACGCTAAACACTCACGTCACCCCTTTGATCACGCTAATTCCCTCTAAACCTTCCTCTAGTCCTGGAGGAGAGCCATAGAAAATTTGGTAACGCCAGCTATCACAAGACTACCCGAATGACATTTCACCCACGCCAGCCCCCCCCC